GTGAAGAAAGGAGTTGCGCAGATGGAGGAGAGGAGAGGAAGGAACAGAGGGTGAATCAGTGTCCATTGTGGTTTGGTCTCTGCAATATTTTCAGAGATTGCTTCAAGTGTTTCGGAATTCAGAGACGTCGTATTGGGAGACAATATTGGAGATGGTAGGGGGAGGATGAGTAAAGATTGGAACGGTAATGGACTGTCCCAAAGGTGGGGGGGGCGAAGGGTGGGGGGAAAACGGGGAAAAGAAGCAGCGTGGAAGGGGGGGCAGAAGGGGCAGAAAAAACCTGGGGGTGGCAGAAGAGGGAAAAAAACCTGGGAGGGAACAGGGGAGGTACGTATAGTACGAGGAGGAGGGTAAACCCTTTCTACACTTGTAACAGAGCCAGTGAGAAGGGAAGAACCCGGTACAGAGACAGGGAAGGTAAAATGAGGTGGAAGGAGGGGTTAAAGGACCTTTTTTTGACTTCTGAGAAGTAGAGGGATGATTGGGAGGTGGTGTCGTACGAGGTCTCGTCGATACTGAGGCTTGTGAGGGAGAACACGAAGAAGCATGAACAGACTGAGGCGTTGAAGTAGGGACGTCTGAGCCTAGGACAGCAAAAGAATTAGATACAGGAGTGACTATGGGAGAGGTAACCACAGAGGAGGCTGCAGAAGATGGGACCCCAGAAGTGGGGGGACATTTTGAAACACGGGAATAAGAAACACGAGGTAGTCTCCCTCGGAGGCGGAGCCGAGAAACTGCCATGGCATAAGGGAGACCTTCTGCCTCTGAGGTAACGGATTTCCCGCTCATTTAAGTAGACTTGGCAATGGCGAGAGTATGAAGGGTGAGCCTCATGACAATTAAGGCAAGAGGGAGGTCGATTGCAAGACGTATTAGAATGGGCATTTGGCTATGGATCTGCAATATTTAGCTGGATGGCCAAATCGCCAGCAATTTCTACACTGCTGTGGTGTAGGGATCACCTTTCGAACTTGTAACCGATGTCCTGCCACATAAACTGAGGATGGGAGTTCACGGCTGTCAAAAGTTAAACAAGCCACATTGCTAGGGTATCGTCTCTGCCCGCGGGCAGGAAGAACGTAAGTGTCTACCTTGAGGATTGGGAGATCTTGGAGTTCCAGCTGTTCAAGAATGTCATTGCCACATGTCTGGAAATTTTGTTTGAACTTGGGATGGGGCAGAAAAGACGGTTTCCACTACAAGAATTGAGGGAATGATGTTTTTCAATAGTGACGGGAACAGTATCTATATGGAAAAGAAGAGAAAGATCATGAGCTTGGGTAGCATTCTGTACAGTGATGATGCACATACCGCTCTTAAGAGCATGAAAAGAAATATCTTTTCCAACATGGCGTAGGAGTGCCTTGCCAATACTGCGGTCGGAAAGATAGGCGGTAGAGGAAGTTGGTCGTAAAGTGAAGAATTTAGTCCATTGTGCAGTCTGAAACTGAGCATGGAAAGGGAGTGCAGGACGTGTTGATCTTTTCTGAGAAAAACGAGAAGGTGGAGAAGTATCATCAGAAGGTAACTGTCGTTGGCGTTTAGGCGTGGGACAAGAATTGGTCCGACGCGGAACGGGCCGGCAATTCGAAAATTGCCGCACCGTAGAGGGAGAGGCCGGAAGCTAGTCAAAGGAGAGCGGAGGCAGATTTAAAACAAAAAGGGGTCAGTCGAGACCTCAGTACCTGAAGCAGGTGAGGAAACAGCACCGGGAAGAGGTACAGAGGCATGAGGAGTGTCCGAAGAGTGGTCCAAAGACGAGGCGGGGTCAGAACGGGGTGCGATATCAAGAAGGGGCCCGGGGGAATCAGGTTCATGGACTAGGGCTGCCATGGTTAGGTTACTTCTTTCTTTTTGTTTTTAAGAAAAAAAAAAAAGAAAATAAAAATAAAAATAAAAAAAAAAAGAATAAAAAAAGGGGGGACTGGGGAGAGATAGTTCCTAGGAGGAATGAAAGGGCCAAAAAAAATCTCCCTCCGCGCCCAAGGAAAAACCTCGGCACCGCAAGTAGCGTAGATGCAGCAGGAACCGTGCCATTACCCTACCCCTCATGCCAGTAAACTAGCAATCCGGGATAGCAACCTCGCATCTGCCGAGCTACCTCGGTGGACAAAAGAGAGGGCGGCCGGATATCCGCCCAAAAGATACCTCCTTCAGCCACCACCCCCGGAATCCAAAAGGTGGCTTTCCAGAGATACACCCGTCGCCCGAAAGGAAACACCCAAGCCACTCTCCAGGATACCGGAGAGGGATCGGGATTTTCCCCAGGCGATCCAGATTCCACGGCAAACTACGCCACCGCCAAGAACCTCAACAGAATGGGATGGACCCTGGTACCCTTTCCCCTACCTGGGAAGTAGCGTGCCTGTGGGAAAAATCCCAAAGGCCAAAAAGAGGAAGGGCAAAAGGGAGGGGTGGGGAGGGGGAGGAGGAAAGGGAAAAGGGGAGGATGGGGATGATGGGATAGGGAAGGGGGGATTGGGGCGTAATTAGGTTCGGTCTGAGGAAGGAGACCGACAGATCTAATTCCTCAGACCAAGAGCCTCTTCACCACGCCAAGGAGCCCCCCTTGAAGAGGAATTAACTGTTAAACATTTAAGGATCCTACAGAACTTTTATTGATAAATTACCACCTATACAGGTAATAATAATCTGATCCTTCCTCTCAGTAGGAAACAACAGCACAAATTCAATAAGCAGAGGCATTTTAAATTTATTGCACAAACTGCTCTTTGTATCTTAAAATAAATTGTAGCACTTGCAAGCCAAATATTTACTTTTTAATCATTGGAAAGTGCTAAACCCATAGGGTTCCTATTGTACCTGGGGAATAAGAGGCAACCAGTCTCAATCCAAGGAAAAGGAGGCTGAATCCAGTTCCCTAATTAAAAGCCTCTAACTAGCATTAAGGTATCTCCCTAGAGGGAATACAAGTCTTTGAGTATGATACACTTATTATTTTTATATTTAGAAGGGGGCACTAAACCCATAGGGGTCATACAGTGCCTAGCAAAAGGGAGGCATTCAGGTATGCTCCAAGGAAGAGGAGAGCAGATCCTATTCCTGTGATCAAGAGCCCATCACCAACTTCAAGGAACCTCCCTTCAGGAGTAAGATACCAGTCATGAAGATTTGAAACCATCAAATGGAACCCTTGGAGGAATAAAAATAAAATCCATTAACCACTTATACATACCCTTTCAGGGGACTATTAAAAATTATAAAATTGCATGCAAATTCAATCTGTTAAGACTGCTTTTCAGAAAAGCATTTTTTTTTTTCCTCCATGAATCTGCAATAAAAGAGGCCTTTGAATTCGTTTGTCAATCAATAATAGGGAAAGCATACAGGGATAGAATGGAATAGGCAATGATAGGATGCAACATACAAATTATATTAACTTGTTTTGGACAGAGAACTTGAAAGTAATTTGATATGGCCAAAACAAAAGAAATTTTGCACTGTAATGAGCTACTCATCCTTCCAAAAAATAAGTGACGTTAAAATCATTCGTATATAGGAAATGACAAATCCCATAAGGAAGAATTGAGGGAATTCTATTCATAGCAATTGGAAAAAAGGTACAGTACTTACAAGCATACATACCCATGGTAAGCCATCTTCAGTGAAGTCAAAAAAGAATTGAAAAGGAAAGGCTGTAATTGACCCCAACGCAAAAAGCCTGTCTAAAAGGTCTTCAGAAAATGGAGATAGGCCTTGTAGGCCTACCATCCCCACTGGGATAAGACAAAATCATAAGGTCATGTCATAAGCCTGCTCTAGGTCAAATAAATGTACCATAACAGTATTAGCACTGACCAATCAAATATACTGAATCACCAAATTAAAGGGTTTCTTTTGGAATGGGCCTTCCTGTATCAATGTATTTTTTTCTGGAAAGCACTAACTCATGACCTCTCCTATAGCAAAAGGTGATGGGTCATACAATTTTGGGTTTTACATACTCCACAAGTCTTTTATTACGCTAAGTTCCCATAATTCACAAATGGAGCCGGTAAAAGCAACGAGTTGAATACCATATTTCTGCTGGAAAATACACAAACTTTTATAGCCTGCACAGACTCGCTAAACCATCTAAACTACAGGAAGCAGCTCGCTGCATCTGGAATCTTTCAGGAATGGAGAAAATCACACACACACACACGCACACGGTAATTACTTGAGGTTCAGGTTTAGTATCAACACTGAGGTTGGAAGTATATGCCTGTGGCCCTGCACTCTGAAGGATAAATGCATAAATGATATCAAATGTTTCCCATTTTTGGTTACTCTAACTTATTGGAAAAGGGCAATAAGACTATTAGAGTAAGACTACTAGAAAACACTGTCAACATGTTTTCAAGAACTCTCTATCTACCAGCAGATATAAGTGGTAATCAACCAGGGTGTAATGGCTATGTAGGCCTGTAAACTTAGGTAATCAGGAACTATACATGACGGCAATGGCCTCAGGCCAAGCTGTGAAAGTAAGAAAAATACTTGAAACTAGTCACAGGTATAAGTCATGATTAAAATTCAGCAAGAGTAGACTCTCAAATTCCATAAATAAAGATGAGCTGTGCAAAAGTATCCATTAGTGGTCAATGCAATAGTTATGAGACCAAAAAGATGTGTTGCAGCCTCTACAGGTTGCCTGGGCAGTAGAATGACTCTGTTGAGTTAACACTGAAAGTCCCAATTTACCTTAAGACTGGCTTAGCTGTTGGTTAGAGGAAGAGTCACAGATTTTCAGGCACAATTAACACAAATAAGTCACTCTTGGTCTGTTAAGTTACCTATGGTCCTCAAAAGAATTAAAAATCCCAAGCCAATACAACTCATAACACTGATGGACCTCAAAATCTACCCAGTATACCCTATCCAGTACATCTTATAATATCAATGTAATTCAATTACTCCTAGGTAGTAGGTTGGTAGACAGCAACCGCCCAGGGAGGTACTACCGTCCTGCCAAGTGAATGTAAAACTGAAGCCTGTAACTGTTTTACACGATGGTAGGATTGCTGGTGTCTTTTTTTTTTTCTGTCTCATACACATGCAAGATTTCAGGTATGTCTTGCTACTTCTACTTACACTTAGGTCACACTACACATACATGTACAAGCATATATATACACACCCCTTTGGGTTTTCTTCTATTTTCTTTCTAGTTCTTGTTCTTGTTTATTTCCTCTTACCTCCATGGGGAAGTGGAACAGAATTCTTCCTCCGTAAGCCATGCGTGTTGTAAGAGGCGACTAAAATGCCGGGAGCAAGGGGCTAGTAACCTCTTCTCCTGTATATATTACTAAATGCAAAAGGAGAAACTTTCGTTTTTCCTTTTGGGCCACCCCACCTCGGTGGGATACAGCCAGTGTGTTGAAAGAAGAAAGAAAGAATTCAATTACTCACAATAAAACCCAAGGAAATACAACCCATAACATTAATGAAAGTCACAATAACCCTTAACAAAATTAATGGGTGGCAAGTCAACTGGTCTTATCTGATGAAGCAAACGTAATGTCCTCTATATTAACAAGGATTTTTATACAGTAAATTAATAAAGCTGTATTTTATTTAAAGTAATACTTTGGCACTAAATCACAGCACAAGTTTTTAATTCCTAATAATACAAAAAAATACAGTCTCTCTCTTAAAAACAAAATTTTCTAAATATCTTGCCAAAACATTGATCCATTACAATAGAAATATGAAATATATATTGCAGATGGGTGCAACTGGACTAGATATATTTACTTCCAAGACTTAAGTTCTGGTGTTCCCACAGAACATATGAAACCCAGTGAGGTCTGCTGGTTCTGCTTCCTTGCTTAACATAAGATTGCTATGGCAATTAACACTCAAGCCTAGGAATGTTCGGAACCCAAGTTTCAATCCCACAGATACTGTACTCGAAGATTTCACATTAATGCGAGATTTGGAGTTAAATATACTTCAGTACTCAAATTATTTTTCAAGCAATGCAACTTTATAATTACATATCTAAACACTAATGTAATAATAATTTCCCTCAACATTAAAGGACTTCCCTATTACTAAGTACAGCTGCCATTTATTATACCTATTCATACAAGAGTTAAATATTTTATTTCTTCATTTATTGTACTTTTATTAAAGGTACTTTCGTAGGTAAAGGCAACATATGCAAACAAGATGCATTCACCTTGTCCAGCCTTATTTTAAGCATAGTCTGTTTTAACAACTCTCCCCAAAGGCAACTGTGTGGTTGTAACTGAATTAATTAATGTTGAGAGAGTAATGACAGAATTTTGTGCACAAAGTAAGTTTTCAAACAGACTCACAGCCTACTTCTTTACATACATTATTTTAGGTCAGGTCAAACTAGATTAACAATTTCTAACAAAATGTAATGAAGTAAAATCCCTGACAAGGGGGTATGTGCTCTCAATGCAACAGTAGCTGGGTAAGCAAGATTTTTACAATTCACAGCATCTGAGTTTTGCTACAAAGATGATGTCTCAATTAGATAGTATTCTTAATACTAACTTAACATTTTCAGAAAAAAAAAATAATAATTTAGGCATTTCTTAGATAAAAGAAATTATCAAATTCAAATTAACAAGAGTAAATCAAAAAACTAATTTATTGTAAAAAATTCCATTCAATTTTTTTATCACGCTGCATTACAGCGTAACCTCAATTAACCATCAGCATACTCATAACTCATTCAATAAGCCTTTGACAACAAAGAAAACAAAAATTTAACCACTGACTCCAGAAATGTTGCTACTGTACTGCTTTTTTCATTATTTTTAAGATTGTCTCAGCACCATTTGGCTTAACACTTATAATACACTCAGCAGCCTTTGCAGCTGCTGTCACACAGGCAATCTCCACAGGTGACAAGCTGCTAGGAAATTGCAGTTCATTCATATTAGGCTCAGCAATAAATCTCAGTATCGTCTGTTCAACAACTCTCTCAAATTCTGGTCGAACTTTAACAACATTCTCCGTGAGGCTCCCAGCTGAACTCTGTACAAGAGGTTCAAACATTTGCTTGTACATGAGCTGCTCCTGTGCCTCATATTTCTGTTCTTTAAGTAGCACCATTTCCAGCTCAGAACTGATATCCATGTTGTTTGGTTTCAGACGCTGAGCATGCAAGAGTGCTTTACGTGCACCTTTAAAATCATGCAACATACACTTGGCTTTTCCATATCTGAAAATATTATAAGTGTATATTCATAAAAATGTTAAACTTGAATGAATCTTTCGAAGTGGTGAATAGAAAACATCAAATGCTAAGAAATTATTATTTTCCAAGAAAGTATTAAACTCGTAGAGTTAAATAGTGCCTGTAAAATGAAGGTATTCAGGTTTGATTTAAAGCTCCAATCACTTGGATCAAGAGCCTTTCACCAGCATCAAGGCATTTTCCTTGAAGAGAATCACTAAGCAAATGAAAGCAAGAATCATTATGTAAGTGGGTTTATCTCTATTACTGAAGTCTTCTTTCCTCTAACAGCTCCTATTTTGTGATGAGGTAGTTTTATAAAGTACTTCAAGAAATAAATGGAACACATAAGTGAACTCACACCAACTTGTTTCCTATGTAAAAAAAAAAATCTGTGAAAATAGACTAACAAGTGCCTCAATAACTACCACATACAGTACACTATTATGTGGGAAAGTAGACAAAAATATAAGGAGGCAATAAATGTAAAGGCAAGTAAAATAAATGGGGAAGCAGTTGTCAATAAAAAAAAAAAGGAAAGGCAGTAGTTATGGACTAGGTACTGTAGAGAAGAAATACAGTGAGGGTAGTGCTGGGTTTCTCTACTGAAAATTCATTCTTTTAAACAGAACTTAGTGGGTTTACCACTAAGTTCTCCTTTAGCAAGCTTATATGCTGAACATCTTGAAGCCAAGAAATTTCCTCTATCAGGAAACTAAAATATCTGAATAAGTTTCTACTTGTAAAATTATATTATTATTACAGGTGGGAAATAGCCATTGAAGTAATAATAATAATACTTAACTCCACAAGGAAGTGGAGAAGAATAATTCCTTCATAAGCCATGTATGTCATAAGAGGCAACTAAAATGCCAGGAGCAAGAGGCTAGTAGCCCCTTCTCCTGTATAAATTACTAGATGTAAAAAGAAGAAACAATTTTGTTTCTTCTTTTTTGGGTCACCCTGCCTCGGTGGGAGATGGCCTATGTGTTAAAAAAAAAAAAAAAACTTAGTAAAGATTACAAACCTTTTCCAATCATAGCAGACAGAAATATGAAAGCACTCTATATCCTAGTTTCAAAACTCAAATATGACTAGCTAGCTTCCCTAAATTCCTTAATATTAAAACAGCATGTCACATCCCAAAGACCACTCACTAATCTAACATGCTTAAGCTCCATACTCTTGATACCTTCTTCACACCCTCCTCAAATCTTTTCTTGGACATCTAACATTACCTGTTATGCACCCAAGATTTACACACACTTGTACTGAACCTGCCATGTTCCATCTCAATAATTTAAAGAAAAATGCAGTTCTGTACCTTCAGTACTGAATAAAAATTACTTTAGTTGTATAAACTATGGGAGCTATAGCTTTTTGCAAAGACCACACTGCACAACACTTCAAGAAAACCTAAGGTTAGTACTCTAACTAAAAGATTACTTGCAATATCAGAATAAATTATTACATGGTAATTACATACTAGAACTGTAATAAGAGTTAAATTCTTTATGAGCAGACACAAGTATATCTTCTTTCTTTCAACAAACCTGCCGTATCCCACCAGAGTTCCGTTCCTAAGACCAAGTCATTAAACGAATTCGTCACTAAGCGAGGAGCATACTATAATGGTAGTGGGTTTGTAACAACTATCTCTGACATTGTTTTAAAGTTACCTTTGCACCATTTATGACATTTCCGGTATATTTTTAAATGTTTATACAGTAGTGTACTGTATGTTGAAATAAACAGAATAGATGAAATCAGCTCTAATATACATTATTTAGGTATAAATACTGGTCAGAGAGCCCATTGTAAGTCCTAGGCATCAGTAAACAAGTACGTCGCTAAGTGAGGAGAGGCTGTACTATACAAAAAATTCATTAAATTAAACAGTAAGCAAATAATTTTATTTGATTCCTATTCTAATTTCACCAATAAACTCACCTGAAATACACTTTAGCAATGAGGTCTTTTGAATGAACCCCTCTTACAGCTAAGCCTTTATTGCACCGAGTACATGCTCGAGCTGGCTCATTCATATCCAGAAACACCTGTAAAAAATAGTAGTATATGCAAAGTATAAAATTATGGGCTCAGGTATTACAACATATTTCTCCTAATAAAGGTTCAGACTGTCAATTTCAATATACTTTTCAGCTCTTTTTAAATAATCCTAGGACATTTCTTACCTAGTATCTCTAGGAGGGGTGCAATTTTGACAGTCAGCTATAATTTCAAACTACAAGGACAACCCTTCCTACAAGAAATGACAGAACTGACCTCACAGATGCATTTATGTTGAACAATGCAGACCTTTAAAAGTCTTATATAATACACACAAGAGGTACTTACACATGGAACAGTCTCCCTGCCATATGCACTGAAACTAAGACTGGTGAATTTCAAAATTCAATGTGTATAAACAAAGGACATTTTGTCCACCCCCTGGTCATTAGAGATGGTGACCAAAGGGAAAATAAGCAACTCATTTAAGGTAAGAACCACTGAAAAACCTATCTTAACTTCCTTCCCTAATCTTTGAAGGGAAATGTAAATACAATATTCTACTTTTATAGAATAATTAGTTAGGGATGCTTATTTTGAAGGCATTAGAATTAACATTTCTTTCCCAAACTCAGTACAGTCTATATATAATATACCCCTAGATCACAATGTTCTGGATGATCTGAGTTACCAACCATTTGTTGAGGCTGCTTATCCTTTTTCCTACAATAACCATTAAAAAAAAAAAGAAATCAAAGTTGTGGACATGCTGCAGAAAGGATTGACTGTCAATCTTATAATGGAAAGGAAGCTGAATATCCTAAGTGAAATAAACCTTAAATGGTTAGATGAGTTTTAATAGGCATTAAAAGAAACATGGTGTATCTGATGGCATGAGATCTATTAAAGGCTTGAAAGTACTGATGAATGAGTTGAATAAAAAATAGAAAGGGTACAGATCTTTTAACCCTTTCAGGGTCCATGCCGTAGATCTACGGCTTTACGTTCAAGGTCCAAACCGTAGATCTATGCCATGAGCTCAGCTCACTCTGATAAGCTGTGAGCAGTGAATTTGGGCCTAGATATGAGAGAATACATCTATGTGGTATGTGTGCACCACATAAAACAAATCCTACAGCACACAGTGCATAATGAGACAAAAAAAAAACACCGTAATTTTTTATTAAAACAGCAACTTTGCAGTGTTTTTTGTATGTTTTTTATAGTTGTATTTGCAATTTCCTGGTCTCATTTGATAGAATGGAAGATATACTACAGAAACAGAGATGATTTTGATTGGTTTTAGTAGTGAAAATGGCTTGAAACCGAGCTCAAAGTAGCGGAAATGTTAAATTTTTGCCAATGTTCAAGAGTAAACAAATGACCTCAAGTCTAATACATGACAGCTGGTGGGTCTAATATACATTCACAAACGTGGTGATATTATTTATGCAATTATTACAGTACTGCATAACAATAAATATTTTATTTTTTTGGTTTGAATAAAAATTCATTATGTGAAAAAAAAATAAAAATTGAATTCATTTGTAAAGCCTGAAAATGTAACTAATGAACAGAGGAAATGTTAGTTTAGTGCCAGGAATGCCTGCACTGTTTATTCTGGACCCTATTTTGAAATTGGAATATTTTGAACTTCGCATTCAATTGGCCAAATTACCAATTTCTGTTCACTTTATTTTGTTGTTGAAACAGTTGACTTGGCGATTTCTTGTGCTCAATCGATATAATAGAAGTAATACTAGTGAAATAGCTAAGAATTTGGTTGACTGGAATACTGTAATTGGCCTAAAATGTGAGTCAAAGTTGGCAAAATCGCCGATGCGTAAATATCGCCGACACATCAAAATTCGCGAGAGCATAATTTCATCAATTTTCCATCAAATTTCATACTTTTTGTTTTATTGCCTTCAGAAAAAGATTCTCTACCATTTCATAAGAAAAAATAAAATTATTTTTTGAAAATTCTTGGACCCTGGTGCACACACTGAAATTTGGCCTCTGGACCCAGAAAGGGTTAATTAAAGAATTGCAAGTTTGAGAAGGAAGATGGATTATTAATAGCAGACAGGCAAGATTCATAAGCCTGCATATGACCTATAGAGAGATTTAGGGAGGTTAGAGTAATTTATAACTAATTTTGAGCTAAGTAAGAGAATAACTTTTTTGTGAAATAATGGAAAGGAGACACTGCTGTGGATGATACAAATGAAAAGTTTGAAGTGCCTGGAAAGTTTATGTAACCCAAGTGAAGGAGCAGGGAAAAGGATGTTTTTTTTAAAGATTAACTCATACAATGGGTTTTATCGACTTGCTTAGGAACGATTGGATCACATGGATTTGATAAATTCCTTGCAGGTTTTCCTGATGAAATTAAATTTGTATATAAGGTTAATTACACTAGTACTCAGCATTTAACCTAACTTAATAAAATACAGTGGACCCCCGCATAGCGAACGCCTTGCATAGCGAACAATCCGCATAGCGAACGCTTTGTTCGCTGAAATTTTGCCCCGCATAGTAGACAAAAACCCGCTCAGCGAACTTCGTCCGAGACGCGTCCAATGTGGGCCCTCAGCCAGCCTCACATGTGCCGCCCGTCCCATTGTTTACCAGCTAGCCTCCGCGGTAACATTCAAGCATACACTCGGAATATTTCGTATTATTACAGTGTTTTCGGTGCTGTTTCTGGAAAATAAGTGACCATGGGCCCCAAGAAAGCTTCTAGTGCCAACCCTGTGGTAAAAAGGGTGAGAATTAGTATGGAAATTAAGAAAGATTTTGAAGGGTTTGGGGCTAACCCTGAGAAGCCTATGCCAGTTGTGGAATCCATTGTGCCTACTTCAAAAATTAAGGAAATGTGTGCACAGTGGGTTGAACTGCAAACCTTTATGGATGAAAATCACCCTGACACAGCTGTTGCAAGCCGTGCTGGTGACTATTTCAATGACAATGTTATGGCCCATTTTAGGAAAGTCTTGAAGGAACGGGAGGTACAGAGCTCTATGGACAGATTTGTTGTGCGACAGAGGTCCAGTGACTCTCAAGCTGGTCCTAGTGGCATTAAAAGAAGAAGGGAAGTAACCCAGAAAAGGACTTGCTACCTCAAGTCCTAATGGAAGGGGATTCCCCTTCTAAACAGTAAGAAGATAATGCTCTCCCCTCCTCCCATCCCATCAATCATCACCAGATCTTCAATAAAAGTAAGTGTCATGTAATTGTGCATGCCTTTTTCAGTTTGTGTGTACTAAAATTAACATTTTTTTGTGGTAAAAAAATTTTTTTTTCATACTTTTGGGTGTCTTGCACGGATTAATTTTATTTCCATTATTTCTTATGGGGAAAATTAATTCGCATAGCGAACATTTCGCATAACGACCAGCCCTCTTGCACGGATTAAGTTCGCTATGCGGGGGTCCACTGTACAGGCAAATAATACTATTGCATACATAAAATGTCCATTAATTGATGCTTGATATACATAAAATAAGTGCTAAATAAGGATGGACTGCTGAAAAGGCACCTAGAGAACTAAAATTAACACTTAAACTGTCCAAATAAGACCAAAAAAAAAATTAGGACCAGTACTTACCGAGAGGCCGAGAAGTTGGTGCTGGATGCTCACCTGAAGGCAACATGGAGTTCTGCCGCTTGGAGAAGTGATGCCGATATATCTTTTTTTTCTCGTTTTTATATTAGTTTATATAATTTTTATGATCTGATAATTACAATTTATAGTATTTCTTGTGATTTCATAGCCAATCTTTGTTCTGACACTAATATTAGGTAATGAAATAGTACTCGAATAGTTACAAACCCACCAACAGGTGAACATTTTCACCTGCCTTGGTCATTTACTATTGTCTAGAAATATATACAAAGTATTTAAAGGTCTCAGCAATGTTTTAGACATGGAGTATATATGAGACTCCTTGAAGCATGGTGTAAGATGAGTGTCACTCCACTGCTGACAGTGCAGCAGTGGAGTGACACTTGATTATGAACTGCTCCAAGGAACCCTGGCTTTATTGGTTTTCACTTTTACACAAACATGTTTGTCTAGCTCGGCCGGCCAGCCAGCCAGCTGAATACATATAACACATGTTCCAGAATTGTTTATCTTTTCTTATGGTATAGGTTTTAGGACATTCTGGCAGGATAACACTACCAGTGGTATAAAAAATGAAAGGATGTTACACATTGGTTATTATCGAGGTTCTTGATATTTCCTCAACCACTTGTTGCCATATCCATCTCAAAGCCACTAAACTCTGAGTCAACATCACGTTCCTCTTAAAAGGGGAGTGTTAATACGACATGACATGAGTGAATTCCTTGTGTTTGCCATGTTATTTGCTCTAGCTGGTGCTCAATTGAACTGGTGCTCCCACAAGCTACTAAGTGGTCCCAGATTTTTTTAATACTGAGCACACTGAGTGTTAAGACCCATTCTATGCTGACCAGGCATCTCATGCTGATCATGCCAAACTTGGAGGAAGGAAAAATAAAACGTTAATCTACGTCTGAAGCACTAGCAGTAGTAACGTAGATCTACGTTTGGACAGTTTAAGGGTTAATGTATTTCCTTTAAAGGATCACAATGCCTTAACAAGACACTGCTTGTTGTAGAAGTTTTCAAGAAGAAACTAGCGAATTGTCTCCAACAAGTGCGTGATCAACCAGACTGTGATGGCTAAGTAGGCCTGCAGTTGCTAGAACTCTTAAATGCCTAACTGATCTAGATGCCAACAGAAAAGACCAGCCTCAGGCCAGGCTGCAAGGGTAAAATCTTCGAAACCTGTCACAGGTATGGATAATATTTAATAGTCAAGATATATTTATTATAGTGCAAGAAAACATTCAAAATGTGAAGTAATAGCAGATGCTAGAAAGCACAAGGAATTAAGTGAAAATTAAGGAATTCGTAAACTGTCATAAAATAACATCATTATCATCCTCAATTCTCAATCCTTGTAACACACTCACCGAGTTGTATCCCATAATGGCCGAACTTAATGCCTCTTAAAATAACATGTATGTATACGTGTTTCCTTCTACATTTGGTAGCAAATTGTAAATACAAAGTACTAGTGTAATTACCCTTACATACAAATTAACCTCATCCAGAAAAACATACAAGGAATGTGTCAAATCCCTGAAAGCCAATCCAAGCTCAAAAGAATCTTCCTCTTCATCTGGTACCAAAGTCAGAGCATCATTTGCCAAAGAATCATCAAAAATATTTTATTTATTTTACCTGTGCTAAATTACTGTGCATTTTTATTAGAAGAGTTCCTCTTTCTTCCTCCTCTTTCTCATCCTTTAGATGAGCATCCTCCATGATCCAAGCAGCACGAAAATATGCATCTTTTGCAGCAAATAGATTTCCTTCATGATAATGTTCATTACCCTAAAAATAAACCAAAGATAGATCAATATTTGCACTCTTTCAAAAGATTTACTTAGAGACAGCTTTTTAGCCTTTTAAAAATAAATCAGGCTTGATATCCAATTCACATACTAATAAATCCCAGAAATCAATTAGAAAGGCAACATTAAATTAAATACAGCAATCAAACAAAAATTTTAAAGTATACTGGGTAAAGTTTATAAGAGAATTATTATTCAAAGGATTAGGGGCAAGACAGACAGGATTGCAGAGGAGCAAAGAGGATTTAGGAAGAGTAAGGATGTGTAGACCAAGTGTTTATGGTGAAGCACATGAGTGAGCAGTACTTAAAGATAGAAAGCTGCTAGTTACATTTATAATTTCTGAAAAGGCACATCATAGGGTGGATATTGAAACCATTTCAAATGCTGCTAATGTATAGAACAGAATGTAGGTTACTAAAAGCAGTTAAGGGTTTTTATGAAGAAAGTGAGACTCAGTTCAGGGTATTTAACAGAGAGGGGAAGTCTATTTTCCAGCTGAAGTAGAAAATAGGGATGCAAGATGTCACAATGGCTGTTTATTTATTTATTTATTTATTTTATTTATTTAGTAATTTAAGCATACATACAGAGGTACAAAAAATACAGGTAAGAGCAGCATGCCAAAGCCACTTATATGCATAGCATTACGGGCTGGCTTAAAATTAACTTAACCCTTTGACTGTCGTGGCCGTATATATACGTTTGCGAGGTACCGTGTTTGACGTATATATACTCATAAATTCTAGCGGCTTCAAATCAGGCAGGAGAAAGCTAGTAGGCCCACATGTGAGAGAATGGGTCTGTGTGGTCAGTGTGCACCACATAAAAAAAATCCTGGAGCACGCAGTGCATAATGAGAAAAAAAAAACTCCGACCGTTTTTTTTAATTAAAATGCCGACTTTGTGGTCTATTTTCGTATAGTATTTGTGGTTGTATTCTCGTTTTCTTGGTCTCATTTGATAGAATGGAAACTATATTATAGAAATGGAGGTGATTTTGATTAATTTTACTATAAAAAGAACCTGGAAATGGAGCACAAAGTACAGGAAATGTTTGATTTTTGCCGATGTTCAAAAGTGAACAAATGATGTCATTGTCCAATAAATGTCCAAATAGCCATTCTAATACGCAGTCATAAATGGGTTGATGTAATTTTTACAATTATTACAGTATTGCAGTAGTCTGCATAACAGTAAATCTTCTATTTTTTGTTTGAATAAAATTTCAAAATAAAAAGCAAGAGTAATATCACAGGGACCTGGAGACATGACTGATGAACAAAGAAAATGTTATTTTAGAGCCAGGAATGTCTGCATTGTTCATTCTGGACCTTATTTTGAAATTGTCGTATTTTTTAATTTTCGTGAAATTGGCCAAATTGCAAATTTCTGACCATGTTATTGGGTAGTTGAAATCGGTAAATGGGCAGTTTCTTGTACTCAATCGATAGAAAAAATAGAGTTCTGAAGAAATAGTTATGAGTTTGGTTGACTGGAATAACGGAATTAGCCGAAAATAGGGCTCAAAGTGGGCGAAATTGCCGATTTTTAAATATCGCCGAAGTCGCTAACTTCGCGAGAGCGTAATTCCGTCAGTTTTCCATCAAATTTCGTTTTTTTGGTGTCTTTACAATCGAGAAAAGATTCTCTATCATTTCATAAGAAAAAATAATTTTTTTTTTTTTCGAATATTTTGCGACACCAGAAGCAACTTCAGGATTTGGCCCTTCGACAGTCAAAGGGTTAAGATTAACTAAGCAATGATGAAATCAGTGATAATACATTATTGTAAACAGATAACTATAAAGCACAAATGAGTATTACAAAGACAGGTCATATGGTTGCATGCATTGCTGTACATTCAGTCGAATGGAGTATTCTGTTAGGTAGTGTATTTAAAAAAATAAAGTTAGATTGGGTCCTAGGTTTAACATTTGTGTGATATAATTGTGAGTAACATATAGGATATACAATTTATAAGGTTCAGTTATTCAGTATTTATTTGGTTTTGAGTGAGTAAGTGATCTTTGAGAAGAGACTTGAATTTATAAACAGGTAGTGTTTCTTTTATATTTACAGGTAATGAATTCCAGATTTTAGGGCCTTTTATGTGCATTGAGTTTTTGCGTAGCGTGAGATGGACATGAGGAACATCAAAGAGTGATCTGTGCCTTGTGTTATGGTCATGTGTTCTGTTGAGGTTGGCAAGGAGATGTTTGAGGGGAGGGTTAATATCAGAGTTAAGTGTTCTATGTAATAGGTGCAGTAATAAGTATGGATGTTTTGTATGGTGAGTAGGTTGAGTGTTTTGAATATTGGTGGAGTGTGCTGCCTGTAGTGAGAATTTGTTATCATTCTAACTGCAGCCTTTTGTTGGGTAATTAGTGGTCTGAGATGGTTAATTGTTGTTGAGCCCCATGCACAAATTCCATAGGTGAGATAGGGGTAAATAAGAGAGTGATAAAGGGCCAGGAGGGCTGACTGTGGAACATAGTACCGTATCTTCGATAGTATGCCTACAGTCTTGGAAATTTTCTTAGAAATTTATTGTATATGTGTATGAAATTTGAGTCTATTATCAAGGTGGATTCCTAAGAATTTTCCCTCTGTTAGCTTTGTGATAGGTGATCTGTTTATCGTTATGTTAAGAGGTACATCTGTAGCTCTGTTACCAAACTGAATGAAGTAGGTTTTGTCAATGTTTAGTGTAAGTTTGTTAGTCCTCATCCAGGTAGATATTTTCTGTAATTCGGTGTTTACAGTATTGGCTAGCGTGACTGGGCTCGGGTGAGAGAAGACGTATTTATAGTTGGGAATTTCCAAAGAAGTGAATGCTGAGGTGTTGGGAAGATGTGTGGAATCTGATATGAAGCCAGAGTTATCACAGTTGCTCTCTGCTCATGACAGTTCTTTGAGGAATCTAAAGACAAATTCCAAAACTTAGTGGAAGACTTTGGGAGAGTAAAGAGAGTAATTAAAAGCGAACATAAAAAAGAGAAAGGTGATGAGGATAAAAAAAAAATATTTATGCAATGAGAAACTGAATATCACATTAGAGGGAGTATCAAGCATGTGATGAATTTAGATATTTGGAAATGGACGTTAGCAGATGGGTCTATGATGAGGCGAATCATAAAACAGGTGAGGGGGAAAAAAAGGTGTACGGTGTATTGAGGTACAGTAGGGCCCCACTTATATGGCAGGTTAGGTTCCAGGCTACTGCTGGAAAGCAAAACTCCATTTTTTCCACTTTTAAATGCATATAAATGCCAGATAACAAGTTTACATAAACATATATTAAGTTAGCAATAGAACTAGGTATTAAAAACAATAAAAAGTAAAATACACACACAGTACACCCATTACTTACCTTAAAATATTTGTAGTCTTAATGTAAGGCGAGAGGCGAGTTTTACGTATTTGTAGGAAGTCAGGTTTGGGAGGTATGGTGGCCAGCCAGGGCAGCCCACCCCACACGTAATATAATATGACATTTAATTAAAGCACCCCAAAGCGATAAAATACATATAAAGTACATTCATTAAGTACCATAAAATATTTGTAGTCTTACTGTAGGGTAAGAGGTGAGTTTTATTTGTAAGAAGTCAGGTTTGTGAAGCATGGTAGCCAGCCATGGCAGCCCTCCCTGCCCCGCCCCAACCCACCCACACGAAATGTAAACACACCAGGCAAATGCATCTGGTTTTTGTTCATACACTTTTAGTATACCATAATTAAAGTAAATAAGTAAGTTTATTCAGGAATACACAAATACAGTTACATAGATTAACATACATAGCAGCATATGTGTAGAGAACCTAGGATAGCCCAAAAAAGTCAGACAGTGACTTATTTCCATACAAACACTTTATATTGTGTACAAGTTGTCTCCACGTTGATACAGTAGAATAAATAAAGAGAAACACTCCCATTCTCATGTAACACCATTTTTAGAAGAAATGATGCTCCGAGTGAAGGCATATGGAAATAAGTCACTGACTTTTTATTGGGTTATCCTAGGTTCTCTACATATACATATGCTGCTATGTATGATAATCTATAACTATTTGAGTATACCTGAATAAACTTACTTACATATGAAAGGAATAATTTTCTATTTTTTTTCCCAACAAACCGGCCGTATCCCACCAAGGCAGGGTGGCCCAAAAAGAAAAAAAAAAGCTTCTCTTTTTAAATTTAGTAATCCATACAGGAGAAGGGAGTTACTAGCCCCTTGCTCCCAGCATTTTAGTTGCCTCTTACAACATGCACGGCTTATGGAGGAAGAATTCTGTTTCACTTCCCCATGGAGATAAGAGGAAATAAACAAGAATAAAAACTATAAAGAAAATAGAAGAAAATCCAGAGGGGTGTGTATGTATATGCTTGTACATGTATGTGTAGTGTGACTCAAGTGTAAGTAGGAGTAGCAAGACATACCTGAAATCTTGCATGTTCATGAGACAGAAAAAAGGACACCAGCAATCCTACCATCATGTAAAACAATTACAAGCTTTCATTTTACACTCACTTGGCAGGATGGTAGTACCTCCCTAGGCAGTTGCTGTTTACCAACCTTTTTATCGTCTTTCAACATACCAGCCGTATCCCACTGAGGTGGGGTGGCCCAAAAGAAAAAACTAAAGTTTCTCCTTTTAAATTTAGTAATATATACAGGAGAAGGGGTTACTAGCCCCTTGCTCCCGGCATTTTAATCGCCTCTTACAACACGCATGGCTTACAGAGGAAGAATTCTATTCCACTTCCCCATGGAGATAAGAGGAAATAAACAAGAACAAGAATTAGAAAGAAAATAGAAGAAAACCCAGAGGGGTGTGTATATACATGCTTGTACACGTATGTGTAGTGTGACCTAAGTGTAAGTAGAAGTAGCAAGATGTACCTGTAATCCTGCATATTTATGAGACAGACAAAAGACACCAGCAATCCTACCATCATGTAAAACAATTACAGGCTTCCATTTTATACTCACTTGGCAGGATGGTAGTACCTCCCTGGGCAGTTGCTGTCTACCAACCTACTACCTACAAATTTTCTAGTTACCCCCAGTAATATTATAGAGTACACATTTTCTCTGATGTTGGACTACAAGTTGCCTGGCTACCACTAGTCCAACAAGTCGCCTGGCTACCACATCTCATATTAATGTTAATTTATTCTACTGTGGGACGTATTTATCATGTTTATATGTTACATAGCATGTTTATTATGTAATTTTGAAAAAAGTATCATAGATGGACTAATGGAAATGTCTATACGTATTAACGTAATATATGACATTTAATATGCCCAAGAGATAATGTATTATTCATATGGAGTCAAGAATAGAGAGACTCTTAGTTATTTTAATGTGTACCTGCATGCCAGCACAATGTGTAAGTATATTTAGGTAAAGGCACACACAAGTATAATTATCAGAGCACATATAAAATATGCAATAAGTTTAAAACACTTGAAATCCTGGAAAGTTTCCAGACATAACAGAGATGTGCTCATGGAGAAAGTAAACAAACTGGGTGGGGTGAGCCGTATTAGAAAGACTGCTCGCCGTATAGCAAGCTTTCGTCATAATTTGAAGTCGTTGTATTTGTGGAATGCCATATGGCGAAATGCTGTAAAGCAGGGCCCTACTGTATCTGAGAAAAAAGTTTATCAACAGAGGCAAAAACAAGGTAATATATCAGAGTACAGTAGTACCAATAGTTCTATATGGCTGTGAGGCACAAATTTTGAAGGCTGCATCAAGAAGCCCTTGGTTAGCTGCAAGAACTGTGTCAAAACTGTCAGTGGTGGCAATAAGGCAGGAGGAGGTGCATTTCCTTCTTAAAATCACTTAACCAAGAAAAGGCTGTGGGCCCAGACAAGGTGAGCCCAAGATTGCCGAGATGTGCAGACCAGCTAGTAGCACCTCTAACTCGCATCTTTCAGCGCTATCTAGTACAGTGTAAATGGTCTTCTTTGTGGAAAGAGGCAAATGTAGTCCCTGTTCACAAAAAGAAGAGAAGAGCAGAAATCAGCAACTACAGACCTTTGTCACTCCTATCAATCACTCGCAAGATCCTCGAGACAATAATCTCAAGACAAATGACAGTTTTTTGACCACCACTCACTACTTTGTGACCATCAATATGGTTTCAGGAAAGGTTATTCTGCTGCTGATCTGCTGTTAAACCTCTTCATTAAATGGCACCAGTCACTGGATGAATCCAAAGTCAGCTGTGTGGTAGCACTGGACATTGTTGGTGCTTTTGACCGAGTGTGGCACCAGGGTCACTTGGCAAAACTGTAAGCACTGGGAATTGCAGGCTCTACGCTACGTTTCCTCAGTGATTACCTTCATGGTAGATCTCTACGGGTAGTTCTCAATGGAACAGAATCAGCAAGACATCCTATTAGGGACTGCGGTGCAACAGCTGACTGTGGTGCAGCAGCAGACTGTGGTGCAGCAGCAGCTGACTGTGGTGCAGCAACAGCTGACCATGGTGCAGCAACAGCTGACCGTGGTGCAGCAACAGCTGACCATGGTGCAGCAACAGCTGCCCATGGTGCAGCAACACCCTGACCAGGGGTGCAGCAACCAGCTGACCATGGTGCGGCAACAGCTGACCATGGTGCAGCAACAGCTGACCATGGTGCAGCAACAGCTGACCATGGTGCAGCAACAGCTGACCATGGTGCAGCAACAGCTGACCATGGTGCAGCAACAGCTGACCATGGTGCAGCAACAGCTGACTGGCCCAGCAACAGCTGATGGTGGTGCAGCAGCAGCTGACCGTGTTACGATAGTATTTCTCACCCTTTTTACCACAGGGTTGGCACTAGAAGCTTTCTTTGGGCCCATGGTGGCTTATTTAGCAGCTACAAGCACTAAAAAAATGGAAAATACAAAATGTATCGAATGTATGCATACAACCGGCCACCCTGGCTTGTAAACAATGATGGCAGGGCAGCTGAGGTGCTAAGGCTGGACGGACAGGTTCAGGACGAGCCATGTTGGTCAGAAACAGCTGATGGTAGTGCAGCAACAGCTGACCGTGGTGCAGCAACAGCTGACCGTGGTGCAGCAACAGCTGACCGTGGTACGATAGTACGTATTTCTCACCCTTTCTACCACAGGGTTGGCACTAGAAGCTTTCTTTGGGCCCATGGTGGTTTATTTATCAGCTACAAGCACTATAAACAATGGAATAATACAAAATGTATCAAATGTATGCATGCAACCAGCCACCCTGGCTTGTAAACAATGACGGCAGGGCAGCTGAGGTGCTCAGGCTGGACAGACAGATTTGGGAGGTATCACATTGGGGGAGTTTTTTATCGTGAGGGGAGGCAAAATTTTTGCGTTCAAATGCTTCGTATGGCGGAATTAACGTTATGTGATGAGTTCATTAGGTGGGGGTCCACTGTACTCCACTTTATAGTAATAAAGTTTGTTTAGGGGCCTGAGCATCCAGCAGGCTTGTGAGAGCATGTTTGATAGGAGCAGAGACAAGTGGTTTTTAGTAGACTTATTATAAACAAGGGAACATTTATGAAGGGATTCATGCAAACCAGTTATCCAAATATAAGTCCTGCACTCTGACAGAAGGGTGGGGAGTTGCAATCCTGTGGGCAATCTGTGAAGTCAGCACACTTCTGGCAAGACAGCAACTGAATGAATGATGAATGTTTCTTTCTGAAGGTCACTCTGCCTTGGTGGGAGACAGGTGATGAGGTAAACAAATGTAAAGTGCTGAAATGTTCAGACTTGGACGATTCAGCATTAACTTGCCTTGCGATGGAATCCACGGGCAGCTTCCAACTTCTCTTGAAATGTGGCAGCATGCTCTTCCTTACTGTCCAAATTCTCATAAACATCCGCTGCATCACAATCAATAAATGAGATAACATATATTTCATACAGAATTGTCTCATTGCTAGGAATTCTCGGCTGACATCCAAGCTGAAAAAAAAAATAAAATATTAGTCGATCCATTTTTAAATCAACCATAAGAAAAGCCTCCATATTATAATACTGAACTGTGCATCATTCAACTCCTCAGTTTTAATTAAATAATTACATTCTGAGGTAAGGTTACAGCAGATAAATCTTTGAGTGGCAAACTACTGTATACAGTGGTCCCTCGCTTTTCATAGTTCTCGGCAATCGTAAATTTTGCCAATCATAGGGGTATTTTCGTATAAACATGGACTAGCTTTTCATAGGTTGACTCGCGAATAGTAGTTCGTCCGGGACATGTACACACGGTGTGAGCCGGGGCGGCCTCCCTACCCAGCCAGTCTGGCATTGTTTACCAGTGAGTGAAGGTCCCCTCAAGTGCTCCTACGAAATATTTCATAATATTCCACTCATTTTAGTGCTTGCAATTACTAAATAAGCTACCATGGCTCCAAAGAAAGCTCCTAGTGCCAAGCCTGTGGTAAAGAAGGTGAGAAATATGTACAGTGACAAAGTCTTGGGCCATTTTTGGGAAGTGTTAGAGACGCCAGAAACAGAGCTCTCTCCACAGTTACTTTGCGAGACAGGACTAGAGTGACTCTCAAGGTGGTCCTAGTGGCATTAAGAAACAGAGAAGAGAAGCAACCCCAGAGAAGCAATTGGTACCTGAGGTGTTGCTGGAAGGGGATTCCCCTTCCAAACTGTAAACAATCCAATCTCTCTCCTCTTCCAATCTCCCATACACTAAGAAGAATCTCCAATAAAGGTAAGTGTTATGCTGTTAATGTTTCATTCATCATTTCCCATTGTATTGTTTATGTACTATATGTATATTTCATGTAAAAATTTTTTTTGTTTTAATACTTATGGGTGTCAGGAACGGATTAATTGTATTTACATTATTTCTTATGGGGAAAATTGATTTGCAAATCGTAAATTTCGTTTATAGTAACGGCTCCAGGAACGGATTAATTACGAAAAACGAGGGACCACTGTAATAGCAAAACACCTGCACACTGTTGAGTTTAGTTTACATTCCCATTAACTTGTATTCCCTTTAATGGGGTGCCTTAGTGTTAATGAATGGCTCTATATCCAAGGATTGGAATACCCTCCCCTTCTTTGGACAAAATCTCATTACCTCTCAACCCTTAGGCACTGTATAACCATCTTTGAGTACAGAACTACCCCATGAAAATAATGGTATTAATAATAATAAATCATAATAATTTTTAACACACAAGCCATCTCCTACTGCAGCAGGGCGACAAGAAAAAAAAAAAAAAAAAAGAACAAGAGTAACTTTTTTTTACATTTAATAACTTGAACGACAATTTAGTTGCCTCTTATTGCACAAACGGCATACGAAGGAAGGATTCTTCTCCTATTTATAAAATTCACCAACTTCCTATAAATACAAACCACTCCTATATATTTTATATCCTATTTATTGGTGTATCTCATCAACTTGTGCATTCTCTCCTTTATCAGGACTGCAAAAATTGGTGTTATATTAGATATTTTGCAATAATTCATATTTTTAACAGAAACATTACTTGGTGTTTGCCATTTGAAGCTTAAAAATTATTGAAAAACTAATATTGTACAGGCATTTTATTTTATTGAAACTTTATATCAGATCAATGAAAAAAAACTTTTGCCTAGCAAGTTACACTTAATTTTATCAGACTTAAGTGAGGCCACTTAAGCCGGAACCAGACATGGGATGCATGTATACAAAGCTAGTTTTTTTTTTTTTTTATTCCAATTTTTTTTTTTTCAACAAACCAGCCGTATCCCCCCAAGGCAGTTTGGCCCAAAAAGAAAAACAAAAGTTTCTCTTTTTAAATTTAGTAATTTATACAGGAGAAGAGGTTACTAGCCCCTTGCTCCTGGCATTTTAGTTGCCTCTTTCAACACGCATAGCTTATGGAGGAAGAATTCTGTTCCACTTCCCCATGGAGATAAGAGGAAATAAACAAGAACAAGAACTAATAAGAAAATAGAAGAAAACCCAGAGGGGTGTGTATATATATGCTTGTACATGTATGTGTAGTGTGACCTAAGTGTAAGTAGAAGTAGAAAGACGTACCTGAAATCTTGCATGTTATGAGATAGAAATATGGACACTAGCAATCCTACCATCATGTAAAACAATTACAGGCTTTCGTTTTACACTTCAAATTAAGAGTATGGCCCCGTATCTGTGAGGTATACAGTAGGGCCCCGTATCTGTGAGGTATACAGTAGGGCCCCACTTATTCGGCAGGTTTGGTTCCAGGATACTGCCGGAAAGCAGACTTCGCCGGAAAACAGACTTCGCCGGAAAGCAGAACTCCATTTTTTCCATTTATAAATGCATATATATGCCAGATAACAAGTTTACACTAACATATATTAAGTTAGTATTAAAAAGTAAAATGCACACACAGTACACTCATTATTTACCTCAAAATATTTGTAGTCTTAATGTGGGGCAAAAGGTGAGTGGTATTTGCTCTAAGAAGTCAGGTGTGGTAGCCCTCCTGGACACCCCACCCACACATAATATACTACGATGCTTAAAGCTCCCTAGAGCAATAAAATGCATATACAGTACGTGCATTACTTACCTTAAAATATTTGTAGTCTTAATGGTCTTAATGTAGGGTGAGAGGTGAAGATTATTTATTTATAGAAAGTCATGTGGGAGGTATGGCATCCTGCCTGGCCACTTATACCTACTACGACATTAAGCTCCCTAGAGTGATAAAATGCATATATAGTACACTCATTAACTACCTTAAAATATTTGTAGTCTTAATGTAGGGTGAGAAGTGAGTTTTATTTGTATGAAGTCAGGTTGGGAAGTATGGGTAGCCAGGAAGGGCAGCCCTCCCCACCCCACCCACACAATGTAAACAAACCAGATGAACGCATCTGGTTTTCGTCAAGTCCTACAAGTTGCGTGGCTACCACAAGTCCTACAAGTTGCGTGGCTACCACAAGTCCTACAAGTTGCGTGGCTACCACAAGTCCTACAAGTTGCGTGGCTACCACAAGTCCTACAAGTTGCCTGGCTACCACAAGTCCTACAAGTTGCGTGGCTACCACAAGTCCTACAAGTTGCGTGGCTACCACAAGTCCTACAAGTTGCGTGGCTACCACAAGTCCTACAAGTTGCGTGGCTACCACAAGTCCTACAAGTTGCCTGGCTACCACAAGTCCTACAAGTTGCGTGGCTACCACAAGTCCTACAAGTTGCGTGGCTACCACAAGTCCTACAAGTTGCGTGGCTACCACAAGTCCTACAAGTTGCGTGGCTACCACAAGTCCTACAAGTTGCGTGGCTACCACAAGTCCTACAAGTTGCGTGGCTACCACAAGTCCTACAAGTTGCGTGGCTACCACAAGTCCTACAAGTTGCCTGGCTACCACAAGTCCTACAAGTTGCGTGGCTACCACAAGTCCTACAAGTTGCCTGGCTACCACAAGTCCTACAAGTTGCCTGGCTACCACAAGTCCTACAAGTTGCCTGGCTACCACAAGTCCTACAAGTTGCCTGGCTACCACAAGTCCTACAAGTTGCCTGGCTACCACAAGTCCTACAAGTTGCCTGGCTACCACAAGTCCTACAAGTTGCCTGGCTACCACAAGTCCTACAAGTTGCCTGGCTACCACAAGTCCTACAAGTTGCCTGGCTACCACAAGTCCTACAAGTTGCCTGGCTACCACAAGTCCTACAAGTTGCCTGGCTACCACAAGTCCTACAAGTTGCCTGGCTACCACAAGTCCTACAAGTTGCCTGGCTACCACAAGTCCTACAAGTTGCCTGGCTACCACAAGTCCTACAAGTTGCCTGGCTACCACAAGTCCTACAAGTTGCCTGGCTTCCACAAGTCCTACAAGTTGCCTGGCTACCACAAGTCCTACAAGTCACCTGGCTACCACAAGTCCTACAAGTCACCTGGCTACCACAGGTGCTACAAGTCACCTGGCTAACACATCTCATATTTATCTTAATTTATTCTACTATGGGGTGTATTTAGATGGATTAAGCAAAATGTCTATATTAACGTTTTATACGGTATTTAATGCTCCATAGAGTGATTATTGTGTTGTTATTATTATTATTATTATTATTATTATTATTATTATTATTATTATTATTATTATTATGGCATCTTCAAGACTAATAAGACACTCTTTGTGATTTTAATGTGTACCTGCATGCCAGCACAGTGTGTAAATTTACTTAGGTACAGATACACATACGTTTAATCATCAGTTATAATAATAATGTAGGTATGTAGTCCGCCTCGGCTACATACGTACACCTACCTACATAGCTACACGATATTTAATGTGGCCCAGAGCCATATTATTACCATTGACATACCATGTTCACTGAGTCTAATCATTTCTAACAACTACCTTGAGATGCCATCATAAACAAAGGGGAGAAGTAATGAATAATTCAAGATGAGAACTGTAAACAAAAGTGTTATGTATTAAGGGGAGTGACGTAATGCTTTCCCTCCTCCCGGTTACCACACCTTAGTATATTAACATAAAATGTTTACATGTTATGTAACGTGTTTCTTATATAATTTTGAAGAAAATATAATAGATGGATTAATGAAAATGTCTATGCAGTGGACCCTCAATCAACGATATTAATCCGTTCCTGAGAGCTCATTGTTAGTCGAAATTATCGTTTATCGAGTTAATTTTACCCATAAGGAATAATGGGAATCAAATTAATCCGTTTCTGACACCCCAAAGTATTGAAAAAAAAAAAAATTTTACCACATGAAATATTAATTTTAATACACACAAACTGAAGAAGACATGTACAATTACATGACACTTACCTTTATTGAAGATCTGGTGATGATTGATGGGATGGGAGGGGAGAGTGTGGATGGTGTAAGTGTTTAGAAGGGGAATCCCCTTCCATTAGGACTTGAGGTGTCAAGTCCTTTTCCAGGGTTACTTCCCTTCTTCTTTTAACCCTTTGGGGG